CTACTTTGTGCATCAATCGGCCCGGGATTTCCTCATCAACAACGCAAAAGATGAGATATTTCCCTTGGGTACTCAACATCAGCACCGTCTGCTCTTCCATCATTCATTGGACGCCATGAAAATCCTCAAAAGGGACATGTACGACCTGCAGTCCCCAGGGGTTCTCATCGAGGAGATATCATGTCCTGAGCCTGACCCGTTATCTTGCCTGCGATATGCTTGTGTTTACTGGGTCGATCATTTTGAAGAGATCTGGGACAACAGGCAGCCGTCAGATGACGAAGCGGTTGCAAAATTCGTCCGAGAGAGGTTCCTGTATTGGCTCGAGGCTCTTGGTCTGAAAGGGAAGATGCCGGAGGGAACTAAGGCGGTACGGAAGCTGTCTAAGTTCATGAATGACGTGGAGAGTACAGCAGTCAGCGGTCTCAAGTACCTCATCATGGATGCCGAGAAATTTGTTGCTTTCCCACGCACAGTTGATTGGGGCTGCGCCGCTTCAAACCTGCGCCTCAGCGCTTGTGTTCAGCCCCAGTGGTAGCCTCATCAGAACGCTATTCGAGAGAGAAGAACCAGACTGGATCTCATTGAAGCCAAAGCTGGGATACACCTGGGATGACTTGCAGACACTCGAAGGCCACGACGAAGTCATTGGCTCAATCGTCTTCTCGAATGACGGTCGTTATCTCGCTTCAAGCTCATTCGATCGAAAACCCAAAATCTGGGATCTAGCTTCCGGAGACTGCATTCGAACCATTGGAAGACCAAACGAAGACGGTTTGCCGAGGAAAGGCGAGGGACAAATTGGCGTCTACCGTTTGGATTTGGATTCAGAGCAATCCAAACCTGATTGCATGTGGGCGCTTTCGTTCGCGCCGCGTAAATCACTGTTTGTTAGCGTAGGATCACTTGACGACATGCGGACGACATGCAATGCAGTGACTTCAACTTGCATCCTATTCTTCAGTTCCGGCTGTGAAGACGTGGTATTCTCAGCAGACGGTCGGCACCTGGCGACGGTGGATAACAAAATAATCCTAATTTGGGATATTGAAGACCGCACATGCTGGGAGCTTCGAGGTCACACCAAATCGGTTCAGTCAGTTGCTTTCCTGGCACAGGGCTCGCACTCGCTAGTCTCGAGCAGCCAAGGCGAAGTCAAGATCTGGGACTTGGTGAAGGGCGAATGTACGCGCACCCTCAGACCCGACATGATTCGCGACGCCGGATACCGGTCCCTCGTTTCCTTAGGATCTAGTCGGCGTTTTGCAGCTGCCTCTCATGATGGTATTGATGTGTGGGACGACAAAGGCACCTGTGTGCAGAGCTTCAGGGACCAAAGCAACGTATCTCACTTGGCATTTTCCGCTTCTTCAGGCCGGCAGTTGCTTGCGTCGACAGACAGGCGGACAATCACGATCCGAGAACTGGCAACTTCAGCACCCTCTGCTCCAAAAGCTCCCAAAATCAAGCACATGGAACTATCTCCAGATAGCAAACGGCTCGTTTTGACTACCGATGATGACACACTCAGAGTCTGGGACACGTCCGACGGCAACTACATGTACTCACTCCCGAATGCCGCTGGACTGGGATACGCTTTCTCTCCTAACGGTCGGTGGATCATAACGAAAGACCTTGACGGCTACGCTACTATGTGGGATGTTTCCAGTGGTACTTGCATCCAAGTGTTGCCGGAGGGTACTGGGGCGTTCGCATTTTCTCAAGACAGTCGTCTCGCGCTCGCCACGTGCAATTCAACAATCGAAATTTGGGACGTCGAGACAAAGGACTGCATTCAAAAGTTCAAGGCAACGGCTCTTTCGTTGACTTTCTCATTCGATGGCCAGTATCTCGCACTAGGCCAAGCTCATTCAGACTCCGCGGGGTCTGAATATGTTGAAATATGGGATGTCAACGCAAACAGTCTCATGAGCATGATGCCCACATGCACCATCAATGCCAAGTATTCCGGTCTGAATTCGGACGATGCCGCTATCCAGAAACTTTTGGATCGTCAGAATGTGATGTCTCTGTCAAACAACTTGCAGTGGCTTGCTATGGGCATCGGCAGCATGATATCGGTGTGGAAAATCAGCACGTTCGCTCGCATTCTCCATTCTACAACTAGCGCCAGCTCTCTCTCTTCTTTAACCGACCCCTTCTTCGGACGATCCATAGCCGTAAACGATACGTGGCTCGCATCCTGGTCAAGTAAGCTACTTGAAATCTGGGATGTGAAGACAGGTATTCGCTCCTGTAAGATCGAATCGGACTACGAGGTCTCGTCCTTCCAATTTGATGCAGCTGACGACTCCCGACTTTCTACCAAGTTTGGCGTTCTAGACCTGAACATGGTCACTAAGATACACGCGGGGCAGATTGAAAGCGGAAAGCGGACATTTGCCTTCCATGGATGTGGTTTAAGTGAAGATCGGAAGTGGGTTGTCAGAGGCAACGAAAGAATGCTTTGGTTGCCTACCAAGTATCGTGCTCGGTGCACTATACGAGGGTCGACCGTTGCGATGCGTTTTGGCTCAGAGCCCGTTCTGTTGATGCGGCTCACCTAGACTTGGGTAGATTGCACTGCAGTCCCCGTTTCTTGTTTTCTCTTCTTACTTTCGTTCCATAGGACAAGTACATCAAAAGTTTACTAGAATTAGAGAGCGTAGATTTGCAGTCAAGGGGATGTTAGATATTCCCTGACTTCTATTGAGACTTGTTCTCTCGCCTACATACACATGTTGTTTTCTACTCGTTGGCGAATGCTGCCTGGACCCAGCCCTAACCCTTCATAACAAACGTAAACCTCTGATGTGCGGTCAGTATGGCGGGTTCTCTCCGTGGTGGCCTTGCTGGTAGCCCTGATTCTGTTGGTAGCCCTGGGGCTGGTTTGGCTGGTACTGGTCAGGCCGATATTCCTGATGGGACTGGTGCTGTTCGGGTTGGTACTCCTGGTGCTGTTGGTATTGCTCAGAGGGGTTGTACGCTTGTTGGGCATGTACCTGTCCGGTGTGTTGTTCATGAGAAGGGGGAGGGGCATATCCTCCCTGTGAACCATGAGGAGGAGCATACCCCCCCTGCGAAGAAGACACAGACTGATCCCCACCGCCGAGCTGCGCGTTGGCCGTCGGGGCTCCCACACTAACACCCTCATTGCCAATGTCATCCGGCACCGAGATCTTCACCTTGGGCAGGTACTTGTGCACCTTCTGCTCGACCATGCCCTGCACCAAGACCCAGCTCTCGCGCTCGAACTTGCGATGTCCGCCGTTGACGACGCCCAGGATGCTCTCGCGCAGCGTCTCCTGCACCTTGCGCACCAGGCCGCGGATCTTGGTCACCAGCTTGGCCCTGATGTCGTCGCCGAAGCCGCGGTCGGCGTTGGGCGCTGCGTCGCGGTCGAGCTGGGCGTCGAAGGGGTTGCCGCCGAGGATCTTCTCGAGCGGGCGTTGGAAGGCGGCGGGGAGCAGCTCGAACAGCTGCTTCTCGATGCCGCCCAGGATCTTGCGGAACTCGAGGCGGACGTTTCGGTGGACGCGCGCAAGACCCGTGCTGAGCTTGTCGCTGATGACCTTGGAGAAGCCGCGGCTGCCTTCTCTGTCTGCGTCGTCGCCGTGGTGGTCCCGATGGCCGAAGCCTCGCGCGGATCCCTCGCCGGCCGGCTTCTTGTTCCCGAACAAGCCTCCGAGGCCCTTGACCAGATCCTTGACCTGGTCCTCGATCTCGCCCTTGGCCCCGTCGCCGAGGTCCTTGGTGCTCGTGTTGCCGCGCAGCCAGTGCTTGATGTGGTTCAGCGCGATGCGCGTGAACTGCTCGGCGATGGGCGCGTGCTGCTCGCGCAGCTTGGCACCGACCTGCTCCTTGATCTCGGGGCTGATGAGGCGGGCCTTCTCGTCCGGGTTTCGGGCGGCGTCTTTGACGGTATCGCTGAGCACGCCGAGCAGCCCATCGAGCTCGAAGCGCTGGCCTCCGGGGCCTTTGGCGCTGGTGTCGAGATGGTCCTGCACGACGTTGAGGGCGGCGGAGAGGAAGCCCTTGGCGCCCTGCGAGGAGTCGGCGTGGCCTGCTCCGCGGGCGCGGGTCTCGCCGGGGCCGTCGCGGCCTTCGGTTATGTCGAAGATGTCGCGCAAGTCGTCGCCCGCTTCGTCGGTGATGGTGCTGAAGCTGCGGGTCAACTTGGCGATCTCGTCGGCGAAGGGCAGCGACTGGCGGCCGTAGGCATCCGGGGCGGCGCTGTCGAGGCTCCTGGAGCTGCCTGGTTCCTTGTCCTTATTGAACAGCGAGCGGAAGGCGTCGACGACCTGCGTCTCCAGGCTGTCGATGGTCTTTTGCTGGAACACCTCGAGCTCGGTGGTGATGCGGGGCTGGATCTGCGGCGCCAGCGAGTCGACGTATTCGTCCACCTTCTTCATCAACACCTCGGGCACGCCGTGGGAAGACATTTTGCGGTGGAAGTTGGACGGCCGCTCGGGGAGTTGGTTAGTGTTTAGTTAGTGAAGTTGCTCCCGTCGTGAAGTAACCGGAAGAAGACGAGGCTCAGCCGAGTGTCGTTGTGTTGTCAGTCTTGGCCATCTGACGTCAGCTCTGCACGGACCATTATCGCCAAGGAGAGGAAGCAGGACGGTGATGGAGTCTTTCCCAGGTTCCACTCGCAAAAGGCAGTGATTTAAAGCCGGATACTCAGAAAGACGGCGACAGATACACAACCGACTAAGGGGGGTTGCAACAACCCAGTAAGTTAATCTGCCTAGCCGAGCTGTGGAGTGCAACTTACATGGGAGCTCATTGTCTAAGACAGCATCTGATACACGCGCTGACCACTGTCTCAACTCTCCTGCAGTCCGGCACATGCATCGTTTGCAATTCATCGTTCCATTCATATACCACGGGAGTCAGTTGTCCTTCATCACCCAATCGCCGCGTTCCTCCGCCGTCTGCTGTGAGTCAATGAGCCATCCTGGCTGTATAGTGTGACAATTGGCCGCAAATCTTCCATCAGCGCGGGTTTAGCTCAGTTGGGGTAAGTTGCAAAACTTGGAAAGCTCCAGCACATTTGTCTAACAATCTCTCTAGAGAGCGTCAGACTGAAGATCTGAAGGTCATGTGTTCGATCCACATAAACCGCATACCTTTGTTTTTTTTGCTTGTTTGCAGAAGTGGAGGCACGGGGGGATTTCAACTGCTTGACCTACCCTGTACCTTGGGAGGGTGCTTATTCTTTTTGTCTTCGTTCCGTCTAATGTCTGATGTTCTTAGCTTTCTCGGTGTGGGTTTTTTGTCAGTGATTTCCTCGACCCGGCGCGAAATGGCGAGTTCGTTGCAGTTGTGGCGCCACACCCTATCTCTTTAAGGGGCGTTTGAGAGTATTCGACGCCTTAATTAGAACGTTCGCGTCTCAATTGACGATGTCCTCAAGTACACCAAAACTTGGTCTGCAAACCACACGATGAATCCGCATACTTTCCTCAGGAATTGCCCCGATAGCCTAGAACGCCGTTCTTATAGTACTGTCGCTTTAGAAATAGGGTAAGTTGGGGTATCCTCTTGCGAGAACCAGAACCCTAGCTGCTGTGGAGGACCCGACCAGCACAGAATTGCACCATTCTGAGCAAGCTACTGTTAAGCGGAGAGCTGTACGCAATCAATCGAAACGACCGATTCGATATTTATACTCTGAGAAGTGAAGCTGTTCTGAGTGAAGGCAACTCCAACACTGGGACCCAAGCCATGATTGCTGCATCACTAGCATTAGTTCTAGTCACGTAGCCAAGTTCTTCTTTAGGTATATTCTTGCAGACGCCGAAAATACTGCAGCTTCGAACCAGGTCACGAGGAACTCTTGACTTTGATGCAATTCTCAGTAGTTGCCCACTCTTTCGTTGGATCACCACCAACCCTGGCGATGGCGAGCCTGGAGACCGCCAGTTCCCGAGCGCGGCCATCTCAAATGGTTAGTTTCTACTGTCCCAGTTGCTTGTCGTGTCAGCCTTTGCAAGGGCAATGCAGATTCAGAGCGACTACACCGCACTTCAATTCGTATTCCCTCCCTCATCCTTGCAACCTACTCAATCAATCCTAGCGCATCTCGGCTTGTCGAGAAATGATGCCGAACAAGCCAGGTTCATGACGTCAACCTCGCCATCGCCGGCACTCCATAGCCGACCAGGTTTTCCGCGGATCCGAGATCGGCAACTTCTACAAAGGAGCAACAACCAGCTTCACTTCACTCACGAGCCATGTCTGCAACGCAATGACTGTCGCAACCCTTTCGCAGAGCCCTGCTCGCTCGCGCGGGCGCAGCGGCCATCACAGCGACACTGGATCCTCGCGCGACCCGTCTGAGACCGAGGACGAGGACGAGTGCGACGGGCATCGTCCGACGCTCAGCGAGATGAGATCAAACACGCTCCAGCGGGAGAGCAGGAGCAGAAGCAGGCCCCGGGCTCAGTCTGCCGCTACAGCGACGAGCCTGGCGCGCACCGTCTCGCGTCGGGACACGTTGGTCTCGCGGATCCGGTCTCGCCCCGTGCCGCAGTTCTCTCATCCGCTGTCCCACATCCCTACCACGCAGGACCAACTCGTGGACTTCGAAGGCCCGGACGATCTGTACCGTCCTTTGAATTGGCCGACCCAAAAGAAGGTGACGACCACACTACTGTACGGGCTTGTCACCATGACCGCAACCTGGGCTTCATCGGCGTATTCGGCGGGAACGGCCCAAATCGCCGAGCAGTACAATGTCTCAACGCAGGTCGCGACGCTAGGAACGACTCTGTTTCTCTTCGGGTTTGGCCTTGGGCCGTTGCTGTGGGCGCCGCTGAGCGAAGTCTACGGCAGGCGTCTGGCTGTCTTTGTCCCCATGTCTATCGCCATCTGCTTCAGCTTCGGCACCGCGACCGCCAAAGACTTCCAGACCATCATGCTCACCCGATTCTTCGGCGCATTCTTCGCTTCTGCACCCGTCACGAACACGGGTGGCGTGCTGGGCGACTTGTTCTCCCCGGCCTGGAGGGGCATTGCAATGGCTGGATACGCGATGGCTGTGGTTGGTGGGCCTGTCCTGGGTGAGTACTTCTCTTCGTAGTGTAGTTGAATCTTATGCGATGCTGATATTCGCAGGTCCAATTGTATCCGCAGCAGTTGTGCAGGATCCGTCCCTGGGCTGGCGCTGGACCGAGTATTTGACAGGCATCCTCCAAGCCGTCGTGCTGGTGATTGCCGTCATCTTCATTGACGAGAGCTATCCTCCCAAGTTGCTCGTATACAAGGCTCGACGCCTCCGCCACGACACTGGCAACTGGGCGCTGCATGCACAGTTCGAAGAGTGGGACGTCAACGTGAAGCAACTGGCGCAGAAGTTTCTGCTGCGTCCAATCCAGCTGTTGTGCACGCCTATATGTTTCCTTGTAGCATTGTACGCTAGTTTCTGCTATGGCATACTCTACATGCAGCTGGGAGCAATTCCCATCATCTTTGGGGAGATCCGCGGCTGGACTCCCTTCGTATCGACACTCCCGTTCCTCTGCATCCTGGTCGGGGCTTTCCTAGGTTGCGTTGCCAACGTCTACAACCAGCTGCTCTACAACAAGGCCTACCACGCAGCAGGCGACCGAGCCGTCCCCGAGAAGCGACTTCCGCCCATGATGGTCGGTTCCGTGCTGTTCAGCGGAGGCCAATTCCTCGTCGGTTGGACGGCCGAGCCTGAGATCCACTGGATCGTGCCATGCATTGGCCTCGTCATGCTGGGCACCGGCTTCTTCACTATTTTCCAAGCGGCTCTCAACTATCTAGTCGACACGTTCCAACTGTATGCGGCTTCGGCCGTGGCGGCTAATACGTTTCTGCGGTCGTGTTTCGCGGGCGCGTTTCCGCTGGTGGTTGGGCCGTTGTTTCACAACATTGGCGTGGGACCTGGATCGAGCATCACGGGAGGGTTTGCGGCGTTGCTGATTCCGGTTCCTTTTGTGTTTTATATTTTTGGAAAGAGGATTCGGGCTAGGTCAAAGTGGTCGAAAGGCTCGGTATACGATTAGACTGAAGGGGTAACAGGGAGCTATGCAAAGTTTGCATTAATTTAGGGAGCTGAGACTAGTTGAGATAGACGATGAGAAGATCAAGCTCGCTAAGAGATGAAGTACGACAACACCTGGTCATGCCCTGACACTACAAAGAGCTGGGAAAATGGCACGACAATGATGGCAGATTCGATTGCGGAACGACGCCTTGAGCATGAGGTGTCTCTTGGAGGACTTTATCGAAGGGGCAACTTCTAGCTGTGCACTGCGGATGATTGTAGCACTCGTTCACTGACTTATAATCCTTTTGTTACGGAGTCCTGCCAAAATTTCTTGACTAACTACTCTTACTCTATTGATGTGAGCGATCATAGAGTATTTACAACCTCCCGAGCTTTGATGAAATCCACCACCACAACCGTCACGAAGATTACGATTGCGAAAACTACCCGACTGTGACAGTCCTACTTTATGAAGCGCGGCGATACTTGTGACATCGTCAGCAAGCATGACATTTCCGTCAGGCAGTTCGCGAGGTGGAACCCCCATGTCGGTAGTTCTTGTACAGTCCTCTAACTAAGACACAGGCGGGCGTGTCAGTCATTGGACATACCCCGACCAAGCCGAACAACGACGACTGGGACTAACCCCATCATGCCAAGACTGATGAGAAATATTTGACGATTGTAAACAACGCCATGTCGAATCGGATTTCCGTGCTTGGAACCCCAGGGCAGGTACCGGATGTACTCGTTTGAATGCCAACGCGTACGCTTGTGTGTGGGCAATTGGTTAACAGCCTTTCACCTGTCCAGGATAGCATGACCAAGTCGTGTAAAAAGTAACATCTTGCGCCAAAGGGATAACGTGATGCTATCCTGGCTAAGTAAGGAGTCACGCTTGCACCGCTCTACAAGTGGAACCCAGCAATTGGAAAGGACTGTGACAGTATGTGGGCTGAGGCGTATCTCTGTGTCGGAGTATAGACGATATTTGACGGATTTCACATCGCACTCTACCTTTGTTTTTGGTACTTGTGTCGTGAAATTGCCTTCAATCAAATTCTAGCCTACGTAGACAACACCCGCAGATTTTCGGAAGTGGCCATAGTGCCATGGTTCAATCGCGGTAATGTGAGAGTCAACTTACCCAGCTCATGGCGCGTGATTTTGACAGTATAGCTTGAACACAGGATGTCGGCCCGAAGTTTGTCAAATGATACGTCGGAAGTCAGTGATCAGACACCACCTGAGAGTAGAAGACTCGGTAAAAGCAAAGCAGTAAGGTATTGAGAGCCTCCACCGTCATTATTTACGCATAGTTGTGTTTGTGAACGACCTTGAATACGAATACGGTTATAATGTTACTGATAATGGAATGCTGTGTACTGGTCCACGTCGATCGGCTTGAGGACGCGAGTGTTGCGGAAGGGACTTAACCACATCCCCCCACCGCAACTTAGGATGTAACAGACACACAGTCACATGGGAATGATGCACGGTGACCTCACCTGTAAATACACCAAGCTGTCAGCAGACGAGATAGGAATGTGAAGGGTGTAAGACCGTGGGACAAGTCCGACGGCCGCCTTTTCCCCGCAGTAGCTCAGAGCCCAATGCGGTCCCGGTGTGGAGCTGAAAGAGTGCGGCTGTGGTTGAGCAGCTTAGGGCTGAAACAGTGTATTCGTAGGTCGTATTCAGTCGGAGACATTTGACCTTAGCGTTGGCGGAAGAGTGGTCGAGTTTTCGTACTTTGCCCTCCTTTTGTGCAAAGCGGGTGAGAACTCAAACACCATGCCGGTCTAATTCGCGAGAATAGCTTCGTGTCATGGCAAATCGCCTGGTTACGCGGCTGTTTACATACGCCGACATGTGATCGGGGTGAGAGTTCACATGCATCGCAGTCTCAGTTGCCTGACGCCCGACTCAGCCCTACTGTCGGACGTGACACAACAGGCCAATGGGTAAGCGGTGACGGAACTATTGCCCAAGAATTCAGCCAATCTCGCCGATCTCGCCGATCGTGTTGGCGGGACGGTATGCCTTGCAGCGGACGCGTAAGATCGGGGAACACATCCGCATATGCGCTCTCATCGGCACGCCCAATCACCG